GATTCCTTATTTGTAAATCAAATATTTTCGTAGTTAGAGCATAGAGGACATGAAAAAACATCCTTTAGTCACCATTACACTCGTATTACCCAATTTATAAGACACTGTCTTATTTTCGGGGAAACAGGGTAGTGGTTTCTTAGCTTTCCAAGGATTATGTTCCAAAGGCTTACATGGAAATCATAAATAATGCAATGACAGTTACAAGCCTGGTAGTGAAGTGGTTATGTGTTGGGACTGTGATCCACAAGGGCAACAGTTCAAAACCACCTGCTTCTCCGCAGGAGAAAGATGGGCTTTCTACTCCTGTGAAGGTAGAGTTTAGGAAACCCACAAGGGCAGTTTTACTCTGTCCCAGGGGTCACTGTGAGTCAGAATTAAGTGGATAGCAGTGAGTTTGCATTACAAAAAGGGTGGAGAACTGTGCCATCACATGCTCCTTGTCCCCTGTTGTCTCTGCTCTCCTGGGAGCGGAAAGGCAAGAGACGGGTGGCAAGAGGACATTTTAAGACTTCACTTGGGAATTTTTTAGTAAATCTTTGGTAAGCATTTGTATTTTAGAAACATTTCTCTGGATGTAATTTGCTTGCCAAATAAATCTACATAGTATACTAGTTGAATTTTGTGTGCAAAATAGGAAAACCTCAATTGAGACTTTATATTGTTATAATAGTCATTTTATATATATATAAACTTAAATTAGGACTTTTATTTTTTAATATTATATTGGTCTGTTCTACTTCAAATAATAAATGCCACAATGATGAGAGCTTTGTTTCAACTTTTAGTACTGCTTTTTATAACCACTAGGTGGCGCTTAAGATTTGTTTTTACTTTTATAAATGCTGTAGAACTGCTTCTCAACCTTCCTAAAGCCCTGTGACCCTTTAATACAGTTCCTCATGGTGTGGTGACCCTTTATGTGGGTGTATCTGCATGTGGGCAGACCCGCCTGGAGACGGATAGAGGAGTGGTGTCTCCATTCCTAAGACCTTCAGAAATATGGTCTTAGACGACCCCTGTGAAAGGTTCGTTCGACCACCAAAGGGTCACCACCCCCAGGTTGAGAACTGCGGCTGTAGAATAAACAATATAGATGATATGTCTTCTGAGTCTAACTAAAAATCATTATCTTTCAAGTAATACTGAGAATAGTTTATGCTTAATGAGAAAGACATTATGCTTTTCAATAAGCAGTAGAAAATGAAACTTCAATATCTAAATATTGATAGGGAATCCAAATGGCTCAAAATACCATTGTACAGTACTTATAAACCAATTAATTTGTTCAGTTTATCATGTTTGATTTTGATTTCTGTATTCTTTTACCAAAACGCAATGGCGATTTGTTTGACTTCAGTTTGGGGTTTAAGTTGTCTTTTTAAATTATATCTTATCTTATAAAAAGTAATTCCTTTAAATGTGACCATGTAAATAAGTCCTTAGTATCTATTCAATTCAAAAAATCCTTAAGAATCAATGTGAGATATATTTTGTACATGTTTTAGGCATAATTCCAGCCATGTTAATTAAGTCTAATTTGCTCTGTGTTTATATGAAAATAAAGGGTCAGTTTTTCTCAGTAATGTTAGTTTCAATTAACTTTGTTTTCTAGCCTTGGTTTACTTTTAGAATTGGCTTATGGAGTAGGAGGGAATATGATGCGAGGTTTTAAAACAAAATGGGTTTTATCACTGACATGAAAAATATATGAAAGTTGTATGTTCAACATGAAGTGTCAAGAATCTCTTGGAAACAGTGCGAGCTGTGGTCCAGCTCGTACGCCAGATGCCAGGAGCCCCCACAGGTGAAAGGATGGAAGCCGCCGTCCTTGGGCCCCAACGACAATGGGAAATGGAATGGTTGCCGTGACACATTCTCAAGGAAGGATGTTGTTCGGCTCTTACCTTGTCTGCCCTCTCAAGCTCTTTTCTTATTTTCTAGGCTTCTGTTTTGGAAAACCTGAGGCTGGCTGTACGGTCCCAGCTTGGATTCACGTCCATCAGACTGCCCATGGCAGGCAGATCCAGCAACATCTGGAACCGCATTTTTAATTTTGCAAGATCCCGTCACTCAGGGTCGTTGGCGTTGGTGTCGGCAGATGGAGAAGAGGTGGTCCCCAGCCAGAACACCAGCAGAGAACCTGAGCGAAACAGCTCGCACCGGAGTTTGTTTTCCGTGGAGTCTGATGACACGGACACAGAGAATGAGCGGAGAGATGCTGCAGGAGCGTCCGGGGCCGTCGCAGCTCCTCTGCCCCAGAAAGTCCCACCCACAACTGCTGTGGAAGCCCCCGTGGGAGCGTGTGCAGGGTCCTCCACGCAGAGTACCCGCGGTGGTCACACAGACACTGGAAGGGAAGTGACAGGCGTGGAGCCCCCAAGTGTCAGTCCAGCACGTCACCAGTTCACAAATGCGCTCAGCCGTATGACTCAGGGGCTCCGTTGGGTACGGTTCACATTAGGGCGTTCAAGCTCCTCCGTAAATCAGAACCAAAGTCCTTTGAGACAACTTGATAATGGGGTGAATGGAAGAGAAGAAGATGACGATGTGGAAATGCTAATTCCAATTTCCGATGGAGCTTCGGACTTGGATGTGAATGACTGCTCCAGACCGCTTCTTGATCTTGTCTCAGATCAAGGACAAGGGTTTAGACCACCATTTACTGCGACAAACCCGGGAGTGAGGCCCAGTAGTCGAGATGGCCCCTGTGAGCGCTGTGGTGTGGTCCACACTGCCCAGATCCCAGACACATGCTTGGAAGCAGCACTAAAAAATGAAACTAGTGATGATGAGGCTTTGCTACTTTGCTAGGGGTGATTCAGATGAGAGAGATTGTGTACAAACAAGTTGGAGCAATATTTCATGGTTTTATAACTTTACAATGAAAACTGGTTTCTGTTTTTAAAAAAGGTGCAGGGTGATTTCTTACTCAGATGTGTTAGCCTGCATGGTTGAATTAAGTACTCCTTGTAACTCCCTAAACGTTTAGTGTTTACTACTTTAGCAGCTACAAATACATTATGTGTTCATATTGTTCTGCAATGTTCTTCCATTTGTTTCTCATGTTTTATCTTGGTACTGTAGCTCACAGTAGAAATACGGCTGCTGAAATTCCTTTGACTGTCAGTTCATCCTGTGTTCAAAGGTTTGTTTGTACAATAGAGTCTCTTCTTTTCATTGAACCCTTTATGCTTTTGCCAACACATCCTGAAACTTAATCCACTAGATGTTAAGGTGGTTAATGTACAAAAACAAACAAAAAACACACTGTACACTCGCCTGTTTTTATTTATATCACATTTGTCTAAATATTCGGGATTTCATCGTAATCTGAACCTGTCAAAGGCAGAAAGTACCTTCCTCTAAATATTCTCTTATGTTGAACATGCAGTGATGTGAAATTTAGATAGAAGTAGAGAAATTATTGGCAAAAACAAAACCCTTTTATAGATTTTTAAATGTTGACTTTCATACTCTAATATGGTACAAAACAAATGGCAAAATCCCAAGTCATTTCCTTTTTCATCTCTACTTAGGGACTGGATTAAGCGGATGAAGATATTCTACTATGCATTAATCTTAAACTTTATAACACATGTACAAAGTCTGTACAAGATAAGTTTCAGCCGGCAATGTCTTTCCCTGATAAAGGGTGATGCTTGTATTGGACCCTGGGGATTTGCACTACAATCTTTTCAAGCTCTCAGCTGAGTGTGGTGCCCAGGCACTATCACTTTAAATACTATTATTTGCTACCACAACAACTATATTTCCATAGCTTGGGGAAGGGGCTGCATTTTTTATTACAACTTTAAATTGCTTTGCTGGTTTCATATTTATTTGTTGTATTAAAGACTGCATATTCTAAGAAAGTGATTTTTTTTCCCTGATAATTTCATTCAGGGGGGGCCTACCCTAATGGGAAAAAAATACAAAGCGAGAAACAATTCAGATCCGGGGCCCCCCCCCTTTTAAAGTTGAGTGAATTTGGCATATTTTTTTGTATTGTCGATTCCTATTTATTTATTCTGTAGTGGTCTGTTTTAATAGCCTAATGGTTGAGTACGAAAAATGTATTTGTGTGTGATTATTGCTATTTATTAAATTTTGAGTACTTTGCTGAATGTCATTTTAAAGCATGTTTGAAGTCTTGTGTATTTGTTGTATTATGCCCGTCAGAAAGACTGACTAAAATGTTTTAATATGTATCAAAAATTAAAATGACGTTTTTTTATATTGCCTCGAGGTATTTTCTAAATCACATTTGCTCCCTCTTTGTTGGATTTGGGTGCATGTACAAATGTAGTCCATAAAATATGCAGTAAACCCAGAAGAAAAGATACAGGGCCAAGAGAAGAGCTTAGCTTCATCCTTCACCCAGAGGAGGTTCTGCCAACCGTCTAGGCTGAATCCAGGCGCAGCCCATTAGTTTGCCCTTGAGGAAACTGCCTGTCAGCGATGTGTCTTCTAACATGCACTCACTCAGCCCACTCTCTGTGTATATGATTTGCAGAAAGGAGCGCTGGTGATGTGGTGGTTACACATTGGCTCCTCCTGCCCAGTCCATTTGAAACCACCAGCCACTCCGGAGAAGACAGGCCTTGCCACTCCCCTAAAGAGTGAGTCTTGGAAACTCACAGGAGGCAGTTCCTCCTTGACCTATAGGGGTGCTGTCTGTCAGCATCGACTTAATGAAGGTGAGTTTTTACCCCTATGAAATATTCTGCTGGCAGGATTCGGTTTTTTAAGTTCATATTTTTAGGTTCTACTAAGATGCTGTCCTATACAGAGGAGACTATGGGGAGGCCTTCCTTTATAGTTAAGTAATATGTTCTGGTTCAAACAGTTAAAAGCCTCTTACCCCCAGCTAGCTCTCAGCCTTTTAGTTCCCTTTAAGAAGACAAATGCCAAATTCTGGAATATCTCTATGGAGAAGCAGAGGCACACACAGAAATATGCATTGATAGCAATATTCTATATCGTGTCTTGCACTTTTTTCCCAGGGGAAAATGGTAGCTCAGTACTTAACGATCCGGCATTTCTATTACTTGATTTTCATATG